AAAAAAAAAAAAAATAAAATAAAAAAAAAAAAAAAAAAAACAATGAATTTTAGCTTAATTAATTTCTCAAAGTACCATCTTAACAGGTTTTTTGTTAATGTGAAAAAAAATTTAATTAATTAGGTAATGAAGGGTAGTTCTTAATCAGAGATAGGTAATAAAGTATTCGCTTTGAGCGCAATTCCGAAATCGCGCCCCGACTGGAGACTTTGAAAACGATTGGTCGTCATTAAAAAAGGTAATTATTATGAAATCGAGCTTTCGGCTTCATTCACCAGGTGGCCAACCCTTTAATGTCGCTTTTCTACAAGCATATGGAAATCAATTCATAGTACTGTCCTTTTCTAATGACTACCAATCGTTCTCAAAGTGCTCAGTGGGGGTGCGATTTCGCAATTGCGCTTAAAGCGAATGAACTCTTAATAATATATAAATTACTTTTCACATCACTCATTCTCCACACTAAAATTTCATTTTTACACTAAACATTGCATCTTTTTTTCTAAACTTGCCTTAATCGACTGCTGTTTTCTTCCTGACTTTCAGTCTCCATCGTGCCTCATGCTACTTACAATTTTTTGCAGCATTTCAGCGACCATATTCAAATCTTTCAGTAGTATCTTTTTCTTTTTAAGTTTAAACTTTTTAGCTGTTTTCTTCACTGTCTACGTTTTTCTTACTATCCCTTTTATTTTGTTTTCATAACCATTCTTGCTAGAACTTTATAACTTATACCCAAGTATGTATTACTATGCAATCAAAAGTACGCACGTGACGATCGCCCCAATCTTCTACTTCTAATTACCAACTTTTCTTCAATGAGAACAAAACGATAGCATAAAATTACGCCTTAGTTTTCCTTTCACTTAACATTTTGACTGAATATTGACACAATTGACACACAAGAACACAAACATCGTATCGTAGCAACCGATTTAGGAGTATAAAGATAAAGACAAAAACGGTCATAACGGTTTGCATGCTTGGCCACTAAAGGATTTCGCTACTTGATTTCATATTTTTTGTTTAAATTGTATCAAAGTATACGGTACTAGTTTCTTGATTCCAAGAATATTATTTTTTTCTTGAAAGTTGGTAGTAACGTTTTACTAGATATTTTACACGTATCCAGACTTTGAAATTTAGGTTTAGGAATCTCTGTTGCAAAATTAATTTGAGATTAGCCAAAAATATTAATTAAGTACAAATATTCTTGCGACTCTAAAGCTATTATTACAAATTGAATTAATCAAAAAATTGTAAAACGAGTCTACTATTTAAGAAACACTAATACTTTTGGCTTTATTTTCAGGTAAAAAGTGCCATTTTAAACGATGAAATATATTGTCCACCCGAGACGTCGGTTCTCTTAGCCTCATACGCCGTGCAGGCACGCTATGGTGACTATCTAAAAAGTAATCATGGACCAGGTTTCCTAGCAAATGACCGACTGCTTCCCCAGCGCGTCATGGATCAGCACAAAATGAGTAAGGAAGAATGGGAAACATCTATCACAAACTGGTGGCAAGAGCACAAGGAAATGCCTCGTGAAGATGCTATGATGGAATACCTAAAGATTGCTCAGGTAAGTTTGCACTTCGTTCTTCTTAGATTTATCCACTCCTTTACTTCTTAACAGTTACGTGTATGCTACTTTACATTTTTTGCGTCTTAGTACTAAAATAATGTGCTACCTATTATTTATGAGGATACTTTGCTCCGAGTTTTTGCTCAAGAGACGCTCACGTATAGTGAGAAATTAGTGAGCTTCAGGAACGTAATCAAAAAACGATCGTGAGATCATATATCTACATAAATATACTTTGATCTTTTCAAATCTCCTTATAAGCTCAAATCTCTTCATTTAACTAAATTACGTCTCTTAAGTGCGTTTCTAGTAAATCTTCAAAATTTCTATCTATTGATCCTATCACTTCTTATTAAAATTTTATGTTTTCCAGCTATCCATTCCTTGAGATTTTGATATACATAACAGTCAGAGAAATTCAAAAGTACTGAATAATCCTTATGTTCTAACAAACCATATTATTAACTTTCATGTTTTCTCATTACCCAACCAGCTTTTTAAGGCAATTACATTGTTTTGTTGTAAAGAGGCTTTTTTTCAAAATAAGCCGTTTTTTTTCATTATCCAACTCATAAAGTTGTACTTAGCATTTTACATCAGCTTTTCGATCCCACTAACTAATAATACGATAAAAAAATTTTTTGAAACTTGAAAAATGATTTCAGCTGATGCCCTTATCTTTCACTCTTTCTATGTAAAGATACTACTTTCTCCTCATGGCTAGAACTGTTGTTTTAACTGGAGTAATGTAGTAAACCAATATTTGTTTCCGTTAGAACAAATCAGCCCAGAAAATTATTTAAAGATTGCTGAAAAATGAAATTTGGTATTTATTTACGATCAGTGGTGAACGAATGCCGCACCTACGTAGTAAGGTCCAAAAGTTTCCGGCCTGAACTATGCAATATGTTTTATAATGTTTTCATCAGTAATGGCCTCGGATGTGCGTCCTGGACGAGGTACATCTTGTTTTGCCCATTCTTTGACGGTGGAATACAAAGGAAAAGATGGCCCGTATGCAGCTTCCAAACGATGTTTCGGTGGGCGTGTTGCCTTTTTTCGTTAATAATTTGATCACAGCTCGATACTTAGTTTTATCCATTTCGAATTTTTAATCGACTATCTGACTTTAAAATGACATATCTTTCTAATGAAATGAAATGACTTAATATCTTTTATTGTTGGTGGGTAACTAAAAGTCTAGTAATTTAATGATAGGTTAGTTTTGTGTTTCCGATTAATGTAACATGTGAAAAGGCCTGAAACTTTTGGACCTTACGTATCTTGCTTATAACAATCTTACGATGAGTTTTTGTGTGGAGTATTGTGCCCTTTATTCTGCATTGAATAACCTCTTCTCAAACTCTGTCTCATACGCCTATAATAGTTGATCATCTTGAATCAAATCATGTATCTTTGCTATATATTTTTTACTTCTAAATCAGCATTACAAAATACCAGATTTGTTTGTTATAGTAATTTGTATGGGTAGTCTAAGAATTATAAACCTTGCCGTAGTAAAATTATGAATATCTTAAGAACAACAAAAGCAATGATATTTGCTAGTTTTAGATAAGTTTGATAATAGTTATTAGTGTCACTATACTAAAAAAGATTTTAACGTACAAAAAGACAGAAACAAAGATAACTGTGAGCAGTACAACTACTGTACGGTGTACTGTAAATGATTCATTAAAGCATAGTTTATCTTTCCTCTCATTGATATTATTCTTGTCTAATTTTATATATAGTATTTAGGAAATTAATCTATTATTGTAATTAGATTTTTGTCAAGGATTTTGATATCATCCCGATGAAGAACGTGGTTAAATATATTTTGATGTGCAAAAATGACAGAATCTGGGTTTTTTATTCCTTCTGTGTTTATTTATGCAGACCTTTGTGGCTTCCCTTCTTTCATCTACCTTTAGCGTTGGACAGCTTTTACAGTAAAATTTATGAACAATGTTTCTCTTTTTTAAGTTTATCCTTTTTTTTTTTTTTTCCTAAATAGACGACGCCACTTAGGGTTTTAACATTGTTACGTCGGCGCAACGTACTATTCGAGCCTAAGCTTTTGCTTTATAGCTCGGGACTCACACTGGGCGCGTAGGTGGGACGCGGGGTTAAAGGGGTAGTTCAACTTAACGACGCGGTACTCGAAAAATGGCTACGACTGCTTTCACGCGACTAAGACCGACTGCTGTGCAATATTCCGATGCACTTGTTCGCGGCTCTCTTTTACCAGCAGCGGTGTATATCTCGTTTGCTATCTAAAAACTGTTAACACCGTCACGAGTAAGGGTATCGTACGTGGAAGAGGCGTGTTAACTCGCAATCTGACTTTGACACACTAATATCGTGGTGAGTATTTGCTTTAATCCGATCGGTCCTTGTTATTATGATGGTATTACTACCGCGGAGAGCAATGGTATGTGCTTGGCTAATTTGATATTCCCGGTGACCGACGTGTGCCAATACTATGGCGAGTAATGGCGTTCGCGAAAAACACTTTATATTTCCCGGTGATCCACTAGTACCAATACTATGGCGAGTAATGGCGTTCACGAAAAACACTTTATATTTCCCGGTGATCCACGGGTACCAATACTATGGCGAGTAATAATGTTCACGCAAAACAACTTGATATTTCCCGGTGATCCACGGGTACCAATACTATGGCGAGTAATGGTGTTCGCGCAAAAAAAAAACACTTGATAGGAAGAAAGAATCCTTAGAAATCTGATACCTTGTCACGTACTTTTATTTAAAAGGGAAACTTGATACAGGCGTTGAACCAGCGTAGACAGAAACCTCGCTCGAAGAAGATCAAGTGGCAGTAGAGGCGGACTCTGGTTACCAGTTGATCGTTCGAGGGTGACAACGAGATTCGACTGTGTCCTCGCTTCATAGTAGACTGGGTTGTAGCAGAGGCGGACTCTCACTACTCAGTCTACCTTGAAGGGTATCGTCGAATGTCGCGTGCCGAACTGAACTGCGACTGTACCTCGCTTCGCAGTAGACTGGGTTGTAGCAGAGGCGGACTCTTACTACTCAGTCCACTTTGAAGGGCTATCGTCGAGCCGAGTCGAGTCGAGTCGAACTCCGAATTGATTTTCCTCTGGGTCTCCGGGCCCTTTTATTGCGAGAAGCGGACCTCGATCACGCGCTGGCTCGAAAAACGCAGGAAAACTTGCCGGGGGAAAATTTTGAAAAAAAGACAATAGCCGAAAATCTAATCGGCTGAAACTGCTCTAGTTTAGCCACTCAGAAATTGGCACATCCCACATCCGGCTTATTATCCTCTATGCGTCAAGAGAAGGGAAGGTGATTCATTTGCTCATGCCCTTCCTTTCTCTTTTACATCAAAAGTTACAAGATTTTATCATAACTTAATAATAACATTAGGATGTGGTGTTATCATTATTAACAAATAGTAACCTTTGTTCACCCATTCAATCTAGCCCAATGCAAAAAGAGCGGTGAAAATTGCTTAATATTTAGGTTTGATTGAATAGATATTCAGCATCTCATGATATTAATAATAGTCTAAGTAGTAGTTCATTTTAGGTATTAATAACTATAATAATTGCTAGATTTTCCGCTGTACACGTGAACATTGATCGGACTAATAAATAATCATGAATGATTATTTAACAACTGCGGTTTCTTTGGTTAAAACACGTACATCCATAGAAACAGTAGTGGGGGGGCTCGTCGCGAACTATTATATTGTTAACTTACTTAGATTTACCAATAGTTTCCATTCATTGTTAGTTGTAAATGTATTTCAAAATGTGAGTAGCATTTGGTCAACTATGGGTTTTTCTGCTTGTCGTAGGAGAGGAAGTCGGCTCGGGGTGCCCTGGGGAACCGGAAATTCCGTTAACCGTGTTGGGGCAAGAGTGCGGACTCTCTCTCGGCATCTCTGTGTCAGGAAAAGGGGGAAGTGCCTTTACTTTCCGTTTCCCTTTACATTTGAAACAGTGACAGTTTTTAATAAGATTACAATTTGGGCTATTGCAGTATGTTTATGAAATTGTCAACGCGATACAAAAGGGTTGTACAGTAAACCATGAGCCTGCGAACATGAATGGTAAAAATCGGATAATTCTTTGAAAGTCAATAAGATTGCTTTCGTAGGTTTATGTAATATTGTTGCTGGCTAATGGTGTGGCGTGTACAGGTTGTATTAACCATATGTAATAATTCTAGCATTTGCTAATATTCCTGCTTAGTCTATGGGTCTTAACTCTAAGTTATTCTAGTTTTTAACATTAAACACGATCTATATATACTAATATCTAATATTAAACTTCAGCGCAGCTGTTCCCAGTTGAACTATTGCATCAATTGATTTTCATAATTATTTCGTTTTTACTTTGCTCGTTGTTTCCGGTCAGCATAGGCCAGCGTGCATGTATGTGAGTCATGCATGGTCGTAATACCTTAGCTACGAGCAATCTTGTAGGTGATTCACCTCTTTGCAGATGCACATTGGCCCCTGCGTTTAGTATTCTAAAATCGGCACAGAAAGTTTTGAAGCAAGGGAAAAAAAATTAATGTGGATACACCGATGTTACAACATCGTTGATATTTTATCAAAGTTATTATCTGTATATGGTATACCAATTTAGCTAACAAAAATTAAGGAAAATAGCTCCATACACTAAATTAAAGATAACGTTTTTATAACTAACTGGATGACCAGAAAATCATTACAGAGCTTTTTTACTTTCCAGTCCAGGGTTTTGCCGTGTAAACGTTACTGAAGTAAAAAACCTTTCGATACATTATAGTTATCTTTCAAGCTTTATTAACAAGAATATAATAGCTAGATTAAAAAGACACAAACATACTAATTATACCAAGACTCCTACAATTACTAATCCTGCTCGCGAAATTGGGACACCATATACAGATAATAATTTTGATAAAATATCAACCGTGTTAATACCTTACAACATTCACGCTTACCCTCTTATTAACAACACGCCAAATTACGTCTTCTACTTAGGTAAAGAAAACATGGATAACCTTAAAAGAGACAAACGTTGTATATAAGTTTTACTGTAAAAGCTGTCTTGTGTCATATGTGGGTGAAACAAGGCGAGCCTCTGTCGTTTGTATAAATAAACACAGTAGGGGTAAAAATCCTGATTCCGCCATTTATGCTCATCAAAATATATTGAACCACGAACTTCATTGGGATAATATCAACATCCTTGACAAAAATCTAATTACAACAAAATAATTATTTTCTAAACGCTATAAATAAAATTGGACAAGAATAACATCAATAAGGCGGAAGATGAACTAGTCTTTACTAAATCATACTTTCCCTTACTATGCTAGTTTAAATAACCCAATCGAGCTTAACGCCCTCGACATTCTATCTTTGTTGCTTCGCCTACATAAACGCTGATGTCATGCGTTTTTTTATCGTTAGCTTATCTTTTGGCCATTGACCACAGTGAGTCGAAATTTTCAAGAATTCTCGCATACTCAAGGTGATAATTTGTATCTCATGATTATATTGTTCTGAGTATCGATTCAATCTCTTAGTGTGTCCAGTTAAATAAATTCAAATACACCGTGTATTTATTCATTGCTTGAACCTTGACCCGAATGGATCACCAATCACTTCAAGCTCAGAATTCATCGGAGGATGCTAATAAAATTTGAACAGTCATAAACGTACTTCATTTGTATAATTTTGTAGTTATATATACCTATTCAACTATACACGTCTTATATACTTGATACTGCTGCATGTCGACCTTTGGTAGTCTGGCTATTCAAAATTTGAGAATAGGTGGCTCAAGATTGAGTTGCGTTGCGTACAGCTACCTTGGTAAGTGAGTTTGCCCAACCGTTTACTAGTGAATACTTGCGATACTAAGTATTTTCTTACTTAATTTTATATTATTGATAAGGATTAATCTATTTATTGGCTTATCAGCACATCTGCTTAAGTACACAAACCCAAAAAAGAACTTTTGTTTTCATCAATCAGACTAGTAACTCCCTATCTGTTCAGGATTAACAAATCCTGATCGTAATTCGTAGTAAAAACTTAAGTAATAATCAATTTTTTGTTTCCATAATCCATGAACACTAAATTATCACATAAATCAAAGTAGTAGAGTTAAGATTACATTTAAAGAAATTCCAGTTAAACTTTCGAATGTGACGAAAAGTTGAAATTCAGCGACCTGAAACATACTGGTACTTATTAGTCTTATTTGCTGCATAAAAATTCAGTTTACTATAGTGATACTAATTTACTTCTTTCTGTTACATATTGTATTTTGTTTTTGCAGGATCTGGAAATGTACGGAGTCAATTACTTTGAAATTCGTAATAAAAAAGGTACTGAACTGTGGCTAGGTGTTGATGCTCTTGGCCTGAATATATATGAGAAGGACGACAAGCTCACACCAAAAATTGGTTTTCCATGGTCTGAAATCCGCAATATTTCTTTTAATGAGAAAAAATTTATCATCAAACCAATTGACAAAAAAGCACCAGATTTTGTTTTTTTTGCCTCTCGAGTTAAAATTAACAAACGCATTCTCGCGCTTTGTATGGGAAACCACGAACTATACATGCGGAGACGCAAACCTGATACCATTGACGTTCAACAAATGAAAGTAAGTACATACGGTTATAAAATTTTTATCTTACAGTTCATAAAAAAGTAAGTCTAGAGGTCCCCGGTAAAAGCAAAGTTCCTGAGACACGTGTTGTGAAATTATTAAAAAAAAAAAGTAAAAAATACAAAATAACAAAACATAAAACAGTGCAAAGAAAATTAAGTTATTCATTACTATGTAAACCGTACTCATCAATATAACTTTACAGCAAAATATCATCAGTTATCAGATGAGATGAAAACCATCACACAAAATAAATGAAAGATTGATTGGAGTTGTACAATATATTTTAACAGAAACAGTAAGCAGTCTTACCGGAATGCCATGGACAAATTTAGGGGAAGGAGGGGTTTGGTTAAATAATACGGATGTTTACGTGTGACGAAACCTTTTTTTTTATTCTGTAATATTAGCTTTTAAATTGTTTTTACCTATGGGTTGATGTACACAAAACTTTTATTTTATTTAAAGTCGCTTCTTTTGAAATCCCACTATGATTTTTGTTGATTAAGGCATTCTTCGACAACATTGCTAAATATGCTTATATTTATATTCATACTTATTATGACTCGCGTTGCTTCGTTACGCTTCATTTTTTAAAAATCGTAATTTTAACATAATAAAAACTCATAATATTTTAATATTTAACAGTAATTAATCAATAGGTAAATGATCAAAATTTTTTTTTTCGAAAAAGTAGAAAAAAAAGTAAGTTAACGTAACTTTGGGAAAAAGGGAGTTCTATTCTGATTCAGCCAAAGTTTACACTGGAAGGGGGGGCCGAAAAATCGTCCACGGCATTTGGGTACGACCCCTAAAGTGTAAATATAGATCAACAATAAGACTCTTTAAAATGGTTTAAAATATAATCCATCTGAAAAATATTCGTGCACTTTAATATTGCTACCTTTTTGAATAATGTAGTTAGTATAAATGTATAATATATTAAGCCAATGATGCTTCTAAATATCCTTTGAAGTTTACAGAGCACTTATACTGTGTTCTTATGTGCAATTTTATGGCGTATACTTATTACATCGCCACTTTTGGAAGACCAGAAAATTGCGATTTTTGAATATTATTGTAAAAGGAATAATTTAAACTGTACTATTCTTCTTGAGAAAAATGGACTCTTACGTACATATGCACAACTGTATACACTTGAGTAAATTTTTCTTACTTTATTTTCTAGAAAAATGTTCTACAAAGAACTTAGTTCTAAAAACCAGAAGTCAGTAGTTGATTGAGTCCTCAAGCATAAAGTTATAGTTCTATGTCAGACAATGCAGAAATGTAAATAATCCTTCTATTAAACGATAATACAAGTAACCCACTGCAATGAGGTACATTTACCGTTTAAATGCGGATATTCGGTAATTGGGTATGGTTTCAATAAATTTTTTAATATAACATAAATTAACAATCAGAAACAATATATTAGGTAGATGAGAAAAGTTTAAAGTAAAGCCATGGCATGACGGACTGCTAGACAGTGCACTTTCTAATTATTTCAAAACAACTTCCTACTACCTACGCTAATTACAGCTCTAAATTGGCACTAGCATGTTACAAACATTCACAGACTTATTCTTAGTCGCATATATAAAACCCACAATATGTATCTAAAAAGCTAAGAAAAAACATCTTGTAATAATGCTCTATCTTGAATAGGGTAGCACATAAAAAAATAACTTGATGCAGAAATAAAAAAAAATTAAAGGAATAAGAGCCAATAAAAATGTAATAATCCATCCATAGAAATTTTGTGATTGAAAAACTGGCCAAAAAAGCGGATACGCAATTATTTTTATCGCTTAGCAAAGCCTTCACCGCTATGGCAGTGCCTATCACTATAATTTTTTTTTTTTTCCCGTTGTGACGAGGTTTCAACGTAACAAAGGTAAATAATAATAGTATAATCTTTTTGCCCCGAATTTCGAATAGATTAATTGTTTGGACTTTGTTGATCTTATAGGGTGAAATAAAATCTTGATGTTAAGGACGTTCATTGCATATAGCGTTTTCTGTATAATATTCCTGAAATTTCAACAGGATGCTCGTAATAATATAAGAAAGTGACATGTAAAATTTGAGACCGTTTCACAACACTGTTTTTTAGATATTAAATGTTGAAAAAACTTCAATTTAACGTGTAACCTTATGGAAGAGTTACGTAAAAATGGACTCTATAAGAAAATGGTACGTGGAATTTTTCCAAATTTTTTTTTGCATGACGCAATACCATGATACTGGTACTATATTCAATTTTTAAAGAGATCAACAAGTTATTTTTGCAATTAAAAAAACCAGTTTCAAACGCCTATGTATAGCTATACAAATGCATTAAAAAAAGTTGCTGGCGCTGCCGCATGTTCGCTCCTCCCTCACTGCACTCTTTACATTTCTCCTCTGACTGTAATAAACGTTCTTAAGTGAGAACAAGAAAAATATCCTCTCCGACTGCGGATCGAACGCACAACCTCCTGCTTACTAGACCGTTGCTCTACCACTTGAGCTACCGAGGAGCCGTGCATTCACTTGCACCGTAGATTTAGAAAAGTTCCAATTCTTCCCTTTTGAGCTGTTTTTACCTCAAGCTCAATTCTAATAAGTATATTAGAAAATGTTTCCAATACTTGTAGATAAGTAAAAAGTTTTAATAAATTAGAAATTTTAATTTGGACTTTGTTGATTTTATGGGGCGAAACAAAATCTTGATGTTAAGTAAGATTTTATTTCGACCCTATAAGATCAACTAAGTCCAAACAATTCATCTATTAGAAATTCGGGGTAAAAAGATTATACCATTATCATTATACATCATCGAGTCTATAATCTAGATGTGGCTCAGTACTACACATTTGTTATCGAAAAAAAGACATGAATAGTTTTTAGAGTGCTCATATAAAAGTGCTGCCATCTACATATCGACGCCTCTCACGAAGAGCAACAGAGCTCAAATTTTTCCATTTGAATTAACATGGGAAAATCTGAGCTCCGTTGTTCTTCGTAAGAGGCGTCGATATGTGCTGATGCGATGATAAACATCTAATATTAAAATTTCTCACTTATCTACAAGTATTAAAATGATTTTCTAATATATCTATTAAAAATGGAGCTGGAAGTAAAAACAGCTCAAATTAAAGGTGAGAACTTATCCAAACCTGCGGTGTGGGTAAATGTACGGCTTCTCGGTAGCTCAAGTGGTAGAGCAACTGTCTAGAAAACAGGAGGTTGTGCATTCGATCCACACTTTAGTAGGATATTTTTCTCGTTCTTACTTAACATCGAGGTTTTATTTTGCCCTATAAGATCAACAAGTCCAAACAATTCATTTATTATAAAGGTAAATTGTTTACAGAATATTCTAATAGGAAAAAAAAATTGCAACTAAAAAAAGTAGCTCAGATCAGAAGCGCGATAGTGACTTGACATTAATTTTTTAAACCCCAACAGCTTTGACAGTAATTATCCCGACAGTTTTTAGATTCCTAATATTATTATGTCCCTATAATAAGCAAGTAAAGTTTCAGATCATTTCGAGTTAAGGAAAAAATTAGTGATTGAAAAACTGGTATAATGCTAATATAAAATGAAAAACTTTCCCTAGGAAACTAAAAACTGTTGGGATAAGTACTGTCAAAGCCGTTGGGGCATGGCAAGAGATTAGAATCATTCGTTCGTCTTTTGCGAAAGTGGCAGAAGAGCGATAAAAAATGCTTTCCTTTTCTTCGTACCATATCAAATTTGGAAAGTTTATTAAGTATGCATTCTTTTTTCTTTCTTTAAATGTATTATATATTTTGCTGTAAAGATGATGCTTAAGACACTTATGATATGGTATCAGTGACCTTTGTTACCCTCGAACTTATTACTAACATTTTGTTTTATTCGATATTTTGGCTTTAACAAAATATTACATCTCTAGTGACTAGTTGGCACGTTTTGAAAGAAAAAAAAAAAAAAATTTTAGGTTCAGGAACTTTTTTTTATTTTTTTTATTTTTTCATGTCCCTGCTGACACGTCCCTAACTGCTTCAGACTCATGAACTCAATTGCGTTAACAAAAACACTGAATGTTGAAAGCAATGTTGATAATATTACCTAATGCTCATTAGGCCCAGGCAAAGGAAGAAAAATTGGCTCGTGAAAAAGCACGCGAAAAACTACAGATGGAAATAGCAGCTCGGGAACGAGCTGAAAAAAAGCAACAGGAATACGAAGAACGCCTTCGTAGCATGGCTGAAGAAATGGAGAGGAGACAAGCAAAATTGGACGAAGCTCAAGAAATGATTCGTCGCTTAGAAGAACAGCTTAAACAGTTACAGGCTGCTAAAGAAGAACTTGAGGATCAGCAAAAAGTGAGTTTTATTTACTTACTTGATTTCCGTATAAATATTTTCGTTAGTAAAAGTATTAATGAGGTTAATAATTTCTAATTCTTTGTAGGAATTGACGGCGATGATGGAGAAACTCGAGCGTTCTCACGAAATGGAGGCTGCTGAGAGGGCCAAACTCGAGGCTGAAATAAGCAGTAAGCAGGAAGAAGTTCAACGCATCCAGTTTGAAGTTGAAGCTAAAGATGCTGAAGCTAAAAGATTGCAGCAAGAAGTTGAAGCTGCCAGGTACTTTGATAAAACTGATTATATATTGTGCGTAGGTACTTGAATTCAACTTACTGAAGTAAACCAAAGATATAAATCTTTGCTCTACCATTCCAGATCTCGGTACACTTGTAAAAATTTTCTATTTGTATTATTACAGACTTCGACAAGAGGAGGCTGATAGGCAGTACCAAGCCAACACAACACCATATCATCACCATGTTGAAGAAAATGAGGAAGATGGTGAAGATGGAGAGGATGAAATGCTTCATAGAGATGTAACTAAGGAACTTGCCACTGATGAATCCATCATTGACCCTATTGAGGAAAGACGAACGTTAGCTGAAAGGAATGAACGTCTTCACGATCAACTTAAGGTAAGATATTCATTGTGCATATTTGTTTAGTATCGACTTTAGATACATATTATTTGACACAAAGGTGTTTGAATTGTTAAGAAAATTAAACAGGATAAACTAATGGTTTCTAGAAAAGCATATCAAAAATTATTATAGTTGAAAACATAGTATATCCATGCGTTAATGAAAAAAATATTTCTGTGTTAACAATGCAAAGTTAACCAGGTTAAAGTTAGACCAAGTTCAATTTCTACAAATAGTATTGTGTATCTCTTTCAACTTTACTACAATCTTTGCAGCACAAACGTATCGAACACTAAGCTCATGAGAGGCTGCATTTCAATCGTGTTTTATTAAACCTATTGGTTGGTTAACTGTATGCTGCAGGTGATGGGCTTTCAGCCTATCATAGACGGTTAAAAAGCAGCTTCTCATTGATAATTGAGCTAAACAACGTTTTTATATTAGTAACTTTATATCATGTCCTTGATGGTCTTGTATTCTTAAGCTCGTACTTTTCATGTTTGAAAAGATGATTTAATAAATAAAAGAACGTACTTCGTTTTATCACCATGATATTTATTAAAAATGGTCCTTAATTATGAAATTTTTTCATGACATCATAAAGTTGGTGGCTAAAATCAGAGATTAGTAGGGAGATTGCCAGTGCCTATGGTAGAGAGTGTGCCGCTTTTTTCCCACTGATTTGAGTGCAGTGTCGCGGCAGACCAGTCGAACTATACACACGTTTTCAGCAGCAGAGGGGAAGACCAAAATGTGCGTACGATAGGTACCTCTATGTGGGCGAAGGAATATGTGCGTATACATGGGTATAGCTATATATATGTTTTAGCTGCCTACCGCGTGAGCTCTTGGGTCTCTCGGCTCTCGGCTCTCGCTGTAGCTCGCAGTTCTCGCACGCATGTATACCCCTATATGTTCACAATGCGCTCTGTTCCCTAAAGAAATATTTTGTTTTGAATGCTGAACAGTTATGAATGTTATTATGTCCGGTCAAAAATAACTTATTAAATAGGTAAGTATTAAATACTTGTACATCTGAATACCGCTAACTACTGAGTTTTTCCTCGTTTAAAATGACAAATCGAGTAATAATAGCGTGAAGTCATGTAAAATATTGCTAAATAATTAATAAGATTATTAAGTATCAGAGATATTAAACACAAATTTTTTCTGGATGATGTTTTAATCAACAAATTCATTAAGTCGGGTATCGCAGCACAAGCTCTCATGAAATGCAGTGCTTCTCTGCTTTTCTTTTTCCAGAAACAATACACGAATAAGACTAACACATGAACAAAAAAATTACTTACTACTCCTTTTGTTATTTTTAAGAAATTGTTTAATAAAAATTTTCATATCCATATTTGCTCTCATAGCTTGCATATCAAATACATGAATTCATATAATTGTTCATGTTCGTGAAAAAGTAAAAAAAAACCTGTAATACAGCACTCAGTTGTTTGTCCCTTACATTATAATTACAAACTAAGTCATGGTGTACCGTGACTTAGTTTGTCATTATAATGTAAGGGACAAAAAACAAAACAGCACTCAGTTTTTTGTCCCTTACATTATGATGAAAAACTGAGTCATGATATATACGTATATATATATGTATATCGTGACTTAGTTTGTCATTTTAATGTAAGGAGCAGAAAACTGAGTGCTGTATTACAGATTTTTTCTTAACTTTATCACGAAAACGAACAAATGCATAATAAATTTATGTAGTTGATATGCAAGCTACGAGAGCAGAGATGGACATAAAAATTTATATTTATATATACATGGATATATGTATAAAACTATACAAATGAAAATATTGATTGATTATTACAAATATTAGACATAGATAATTCGTCAATAATATTTTCTGCTTACATACATATATTCATAAAAATAAACAAAATCGCTTGCAACTGCGCAACTACAATTTTATTAGCCAACCCATAAACATCCATAATTACAATAAGAAGTTAAGCTTTTCCAAAAGTAACTTCGTTACTTCAACGCCAGCCAAGTTTTACTTTTACTTGAGCCCTGAATCTTCGTTATAAACATATTTTATTACAGCGCTGTGCGATATATTTTGCCTCGACATTCTTGGGGTTCAAATCTTACTCACAGCATAATTTTTTTTTTTTTTATTTCATTTTACTCATTTATTTTTTGTTGACACGTTTTAAAGATACAACTATGTAATTTTTGTGATCATAGTATGTCTTGACGTTTGATGCATACGATCCGTAAGAAATATTTACTTGTGAGTCACATCTTTTATGAACTAATTTATATATATATTTATGTACACATTTCTTTTTAATATAAAGAGGTATAATATAAACAATGTTAGGTACCAAATTACAGTAAAAGTTATGCATCAAAAATTATTACTATATTGATGTTTTACCGTGTTTAACTATCATGAGAATGGCGGTTAAAAATAATATTTTGGCTAAATACTAATTGTTTTTTAAATTTTTTTAACAGAATTTCACACCACCCAACAGGTACTGTTATTAGGCCTTGTTTGAAGAACTGATACATATTATTTAATTTTCACATAGAATAACAAAAGGAGTAGCAAGTAATATTTTTGTTAATGTGTTAGTGTTATTTATGTATTCTTTCTCGAAAAAGGAAAGCAGAGAAACACTGCATTTCATTAGAGGTTGTGCTGCGACACCCGACTTTATCAATTTGTTGATTAAAAAATCATCCAGAATAAATTTTTGTTTAATTTCTCTGATACTTGATAATCTATTAATTATTTAGCAATATTTTATGTGATTTTTAATGAGGTTATAAAAGGTGTGATCCTCTTTGAAAGTGTTAATCATAACACTTTGTTAAACCGGCGTAAAATAACTTATAACGAGTTATTTCATTACCTTTGAATAATTTTTAAATATACCAATAATAGTTGTGTATCCATTTAAACAAGGATGAAATGTTAATAAACATGTATCCCGTTATAAGCATTATATTGTTACAAAAATTATTTTAAATCTAAGAAAATCCCCCAACTCATGAATTAACTCCGCGAATTTGTTACGCAACGTAAATATGAAAATGAAATACAATTATTAAAATTATTTTATACTTAGTGATATCAAAACCCGGGAGTAATAAGTGCAAAAATATACGTTGCGATACTTAGCTGCCTCGACTATTGGCGCACTGGTCCTTAAAGTGATACATGTTTGTTATAAAGCTCCAAGGTTTAAGTTCAAGTGTTGGTTTTTTTCTTAATTAGTAATTGAGTCAAAGTTAAAGTACCTTAAAGCAGACTTGTTATTTTTCTGAATATTTGAATAATTACTTATTTCGATTGGAAAGGTTACATGTGTCGAAAAACAACATTTAAATTCTAGAAAAGTCATTCATTGTGAAATATACGTTAAAATAAAAGCCAAGAGCACGTATGTTACTAAAAAAATTTTAATAGGCAAATATTCATCGAAGATTTTATAATTTTTAACGTAAGAGTACACAGTTATTTACCACCAAAATTTTATTTATTTTTTTTTTGTAGCTGTAGTAACATAAATTATTCGAGTTGTAAAAATAATTACTTTGCAGTAAAGATCCGAAAATTGACATTAAATATCGGAACTCACGGTATTATTACTCAATTCGTCATTTTAAACGAGGAAAAACTCAGTATTTAGCGGTATTCAGCTGTAAAAGTATTTAATACTTACCTATTTAACAAGTAATGTTTGACCGGACATAATAACATTCAAAACTGTTCAGCATTCAAAACAAAATATTTTTTGAGGGAACACAGCGCATTGGGAACATATAGAGGTATAAATACGTGCGAGAGCTGCGAGCTACAGCAAGAGCGGAGAACCGAGATACCCGAGAGCTCACGCAGGAGGCAGCTATAACATATATATAGCTATACCCATGTGTACGCACATGTTCCTGCGCCCACTATGAGGTACCTATCGTACGCACATTTTGGTCTTTCCCTCCGCAGCTTAAAACGTGCGTATAGTTCGACTGATCGGCTGCAACGGTGCGCTCAAATCAGTGGAAAAAAGCGACACACTCTCTACCGTAGGCATTGGCAATCTCCCTACCAATCTCTGATTTTAGTCACCAACTTTATTATGTCATAAAAAAATTTAATAATTGAGGACCATTTTTAATAAATATTATGGTGATAAACCGAAATAAGTTCTTTTATTTGTTGAATCATCTTTTCAAACATGAAAAGTATGAGCTCACGAACACCAGACCATGAACGACTTTAAAAACTTGAAAAACCACTCCTTCAAAACCACAAGCATGTTAACTCATGTAACCCTGACAACGCATGTTTATTTTTTATTTTTTTTAACTAAATAAATTCTACATCACAAGCAAGCTACGTCCGCAGAAATCTGACTCTTGATCCGTAACCTGGCTAATTTTAAAAAACCTCCCCTACCAAATCATAAGCAGATTAAATCAATTAATCCTTGCCACAGCATGTTGATCAATCATTGTTTTTGTCATTAAATATATTCCGTATGACCAGCGAAAAATATTGGATAACCAAGCTACCCCTAACCTCAAAAATTAAAAAAAAACACCCTTTTCCATCCACAAGCAGGTAAACCCTCGTGATTCCGGCTACATCATATTTATCGATTATGTTTTAACTTAATATAACTACATTACAATCGAACTATTACCGCAAAAATCGGACTCTGGACCCCTAACCCATTTGGCCTGAAAAAATCTCCCCTACCAAACCACGAGCAGGCTAACACAACTAGCTTCTGCCTCAGCATGTTTATTTATTATTTTTCTTACTATGAAATATATACCATAGCACAAGCTAACTATATTAGCTAATCAAGCTACTCCTAACACACATTGCTGTTATCGCTGACTTTTTCTTGAATAATTGTCAAATTGAAACCTGGGATACAATAACTCACGCCTATAAATAATTATCTCGTGTAATACATTGTCTTATTATTTTTGAATGAATTTAATTA